CTTTAAACTTTTCATAGAATTCCTAGTAAAGCTACCATATTAGAAGTTATGCTTCTAGTCAGGTTTTCTATTTCTTCATAAGTTAATTTTGGGAGTTTATATGTTTCTAAAAATTTATTTCATGTAGGTATCCAATTTGTTGACATACAGTTGTTGGTAGCATTCTCTTGTAATCATTTTTATTTCTGTAAGATGAGTAATACCATCTCTATTATCTTTAATAATTTAAATCTTCTCTCTTTCTTCTTGGTCAATGTACTTAAAGATGTCTCAATTTTATTGATCTAATTGAAGAACCAACTTTGATTTTGTTGATTCTTTCATTTTTTTCTATTTTGTATTCCATTTATCTTCACTGTAATCATTATTACTTTCTTCTGTTTCCTTTGGATTTAGTTTGAATTTTATTTTCCTTTCTTAAGGTAAAGAATAAGGATATTGATTTGAAATCTTCTTTTTTAAGGTAGATGTTTACAGTTAAACATTTTCTCCTCAGCATTCCTTTTCGGCAGCCCATGAGTTTTGGTATGTTATGTTTTCATTTTCATTCATCTCAAATTATCTTCTAATTTCCCTTGTGAGTTCTTAACTCATTGGTTGTTTAAGAATGTATTTATGGGACAGGACACAATTATAAGAGAAACTTCACCTAACAAATGCAATCAGTGTAACCTGGAACTTTGTACCCTCATTGAATCCCCAACGATTGAAAAAAAACAAAAAGAATGTGTTTAATTTTCATGTATTTGTGAATTTCCCAAATTTCTTTCTGTTATTAATTTTCAGTTTCCTTCCATTATGTTTAGAGAAGGTACATAGTAAGATTTTAATTTTTTTCAATTCAGTGAGACTTTATTTTATGGCCTAATATGTGATATAACCTGGAGAACATTCCATGTTCACTTGAGAAAAACATTTATTCTGCTGTTATTGGATATTTTCTATGTGGCTGTGTAATTGGTTTATAGTTTTTTTTAGCAATCAAGTAGGCAGTAGCTCATGCCTATAATCCTAGCACTCTGGAAAACTGAGGTGGGAAGATCCCTTGAGCTGAGGAGTTAGAGACCAGCCTGAGCAAGAGCAAGAGCAAGACCCCCATCTCTATAAAACATTGAAAAATTAGCTAGGACTTGTGCCAGGTGCATGTAGTCCCAACTACTTGGGAGCCTGAGACAGGAACATCACTTGAGCCCAGGAATTTGAGGTTGGTGTCAGCTAGGCTAATCCCATAGCACTCTAACCAGGGGCAATAGAATGGGACTCTGTCTCAAAAAAACAAACAAGAAAAAAGAAAAAAAAATCAACAATCAGGGAAAGGGAAAGTAAAACCACAATCCAGTTGTTGCACACTGACCAGATTTTTAAAACTTAACAATACTGACAATGTTAGATAGAACTAAGTTGTAGAATAAGAGAAATTGTTATACTTCTCTGTTGATAGACAAATTGGCTTAACCAGGTTAGAAATACATAAAAGAAAGTATTTATACCCTATAATCAGCAATGGTATTTCTGAGTATGTATCTCCTAAAATTTATGCCCATGGACATCATGGTTAATGAACAAGAATATTCAGAATGTCCTCAAATTGAAACAATGTAAATTTCTGTCAGAATATTCTATATTGACTGCCTCCTCTTTTGACCCTGGTAATCAGGTCCTGTCTTCATCATGTGGTGAAGTAGTGCTCTCTCACATAACTGTTGGCTGCCACCATCTTCTCCTTCAGTGTATGTTTCTTCCCCATTTTCTAGTGTCTGTCTTGGCATATCCTTTCCATATGGTCTTTGTCTTTGGGGTCTCCTCTGTTTCTGTAACTTTAACAGTTATATCTCTAAAGTAACTTGTCTTTGTCTAGCATAGGTTTCTTTTTTCAGATGGGGAGATTTATTTCCAGGCTATATAATGACATTGTAAATTTATCCTTGCCAATATTAACTGGATCCACAATGAAAATTAAAAAGTCCTTGGTTATCTTTCATACTCATTCATCTATACATTTTTTCCTAAGATTTCACCACTCCTCTACTTTTATAATGATGTCTACCTTTTTATATATCATATCTACCTTTTATTTTCAGAATTTACCCTGATTTATCATCTCTACTTGGTTCTTCACTTCATAGCTTGTCCATTTACTTTACTAGTCACTTGCTTAATAACTGTATTTAATGGGTTCTTTTCAGCTCTCTCCTTATTCCTGTTCTCTGCTGTATTTGATATTTTTATAATAGCTCCCTGAAACTATTCTTTTCTTCATTCCTTGATATTCACCCATCTTATTTTTTCTCTTTTCATCTCTAGTGATTTCGTACAGATAGGAACACCAGAAAATACATCTTCTAAACCAGAATGTTTTTGACAATGGAAAAGACGTGCTATTTAGTCACTGATAATAAATATAGATCCAAATTTTTCAAGGAAATACTGCATGTTAGTTACCCCATTTATAGATCTTCTCTTTCTTTGCCCAGTTTCTTTTCTTCTGTTAACTCCTTAATATGGGTATTACCTAAATTTTTCAACTATTGTCTTTCAATATTTCAAATACTCTTCTTGGTAAAACATTTGAATTAGTGAAATTACCACTTCCATTGATAATTCTCAAATTATATGTCCAATCCTTAACTTTTTTCCAAATTACAGACTTATATAGCTTGTCTGATAGTTTCCAACTGTCCAAAAAGTATAAGTAGCCCAAAAACTACATACCCCCAAGATTTAAGCTTATCTTTGGCTTTGAATAACCTGTTTTATTTACATACTTATACATAACGCACACAGATATATAGTATATTTATATACTTATGTTTATAAATCTGTAGATATATATCACATATATACATGCACACACAAAAAGACACATTACTTTGTACAGTTGCTTCAGTAGATACTGGTCATATCATAGTAGCAAAAATACACTCACACCATGATAATGCTTTTTATTAATAGTATGCAAGATAGACATTGATCAAATGATCACACATACAAATGTCATATATGTATGGTTATTTCTGTGAACAAGAGGTACATCATATCATGTGAGGTATGATGGGGTATTTGACCTTTTTCTTTCTAATACATAGCCTATTTTTATTAGATAATAGGTAGCTCTTCACATCCAGACAGTCTCTATTTCTTGAAAATATCACAGTTCAGTACTCAAATATACTAGCAAAAAGAGTTATGTTTCTTCTAAGAATTCCCATTGCTTTTCATGCTAGTTATAGCTATATTGCTCATAAATCACATAAAATATCAACCACTGAAATGTTCTCAATATCATTGGTATTGAGGATATTGATGTAGAAACTGAAAAAAGGTGCTTCTACGGAAATAGTGTTATTTCCTTTGTGAGAAAGAAATGATAAATAATAATCACAAAGTCTGGATGTTTCTTTCTTCTTTTCACATAGTAAGTGATATTTGTTTGATTGAATGTTAATTGCTTGTTCTTTTGTCATGTATGTTACAAGTCTTATACGCAAAACTTTAAAGTGCTCAAGCTCCTATTCTTAGAAGACTTATCCACATTTCTACAGGCCAGAACATGAACTAAATTATATATAGCCTAAAATAATAAATTTCATAATTAACATGAATATTAATATTAAAATAATCTGCATTTTTTATGTTGGTATAGTTTTAGAGAAGTGATTTTTTTTTTTTTGAGACAGAGCCTCAAGCTGTCCCCCTGGGTAGAGTCCTGTGGCATCACAGCTCACAGTAACCTCCAACTCCAGGTCTCAAGCGAGTCTCCTGCCTCCGCCTCCCAAGTAGCTGGGACCACAGGCCCCTGCCACAACGCCTGGCTATTTTTTTGGTTGCAGCCATCATTGTTGTTTGGCGGGACTGGGCTGGATTCAAACCTGCCACCTTAGGTGTATGTGGCTGGTGCCTTAGCCACTTGAGCCACAGGCGCCGAGCCTAGAGAAGTGATACTCAAATTACGTCAATGTCTACTATGTTGATAGGTATAATACAATAATAATAACAATGGCCAATATTCATTAAATATTTAATGCTTGGAGGACAACAAAGTGAAACTCTGTCTCTAAAAAAATAAAAAATAAATATTTACTACTTGGCAGTTCTAAATAATTTACATACATTATCTTAACCCTCTCAGTAATCCAGTGAAGCAGATACTTTAATTATCCTTATTTTTCAGGTAAAGGAATTGATTATTCAAAAGCTATATCCATCAGGGTCCCAGAAAATGTCATAAACGAGTAATTGGGGGGAGTTCATGAGAGCCAAAAGTATTTACGAAGGTTTGGGTAGCATTTAGGAAAAACCATGAAACAACATGAAGTGCCCTGGGACTGGTAACAGTGGCAGCTGTTAAGACTTCTGGTCCTACCTAATAAGGCAAAGGGAAAGAGTGCGATTAGGACCTATATGCAAGAATAGCAGTCTGACAAGAGCTATGATCTTGAGTTGAGGGACACAGCCAGCCTACAATGAGCTGGTAGAGCAGGAGCCAGGGCAATAAATAGCAGACCTTACTCTATGCCACCACCACACTGCACCAGCATCTTCTACTGTCTGAACCCAACTAGAAGCCAAAGAGCACAAAGTAGCTTGTTGATGGTGTCCATACAGGTCAGCTTGGAGTAGAGAGGGTGAAAAATGTTGGAGAACAAATCTAAAAAGGAAATGGAAAATATCTAGAAATTAAATAACTTGCTCAAGATTTCAAACTATTAAATAGCAAAGAAAATGTATGAATGACAAATACTTTACTCCTAACCACAAGTATATAGTAGCTCATACTAAAAAGCTTTATGAGAGATTATTTACCAGGGAAAATATTTTAAATCTGAAAGTTTCTATCCTATCTCAAATTGCTGGGTGCATTTATACATAACAGGAGGTGACAGCAAATATGTGAGAGTTGAGCAACAAGAATGCCAAAAAAATAAGTTAGACATGAGTATTTATTTTAGGTGTTGTTGGCCTTTTCAGTATATTAAATCATAGCTGTTCCCCTTGTTCAGATTCCAGACTCCATCATTTCTCGTGGTGTTCAGGTGCTCCCACGAGACACAGCCTCCCTCAGCACTACTCCTTCAGAATCTCCTCGTGCTCAGGCTACTTCTCGCCTCTCCACAGCTTCCTGCCCTACACCAAAAGTAAGTACAGTTTCTTGGCACCTTATACCACCTGCTCTACCATGGAAAACGGGGAACACTAACCAATACACATATTTCCCACTTCTTATCAAGGTTGGATTGCATGCAGGATAATACTATGAAAAATGAATGGAATATAAGATAGTTACCACCGTTATTGTACAAGTTGTCATATTAGATTCAATAGTAGGACAATAAAGATTTCATGCAAAATGTCTTCTCCATCACAGCCAAGGGTATCACTTTCTGTAGCTGCTGTTTCTTTGTTGCAGGCTTGTTATCTTTGAGCATACTTGTCAGTATAGATGTAAAGTTATTTGTTTATACTGAGGATGAATGTATTTTTGGCCCAAAAATAGTAGGATTAACTAAATACTGTCACCAAAGGGATTTCTTTTTTTACCTTGTCCAGGCAGGGGAAGCTCCCTGCTCTAGTATCATTCCAAATTTTTTCAAACATATTTAACTTGGAATGTTGCTGCCTAATATTTGTAAATAAATCTAAATTTATTAGAAAGAAAGTTTTAATGCCAACCTTTGAGGGGGGGAAAGAGTTTTAGTCTTTATTTTTTATGATTGCTATCACTGAATTGTGATGGGGAGAAGTATTTGATACTTATTTGATGCTCACATCTTTGTATATGTGATAAATTAACTAGCAGACTTAATTACTACTGTGACTGCTTTCTCCTAGAATGTCCCTTCTCTGGTTAAGTTAGCCATTTCTGCTTTCAAGTTCTCTATGTGATAGATCCAATATTGCTATCAAAACATTAACAGTAACATTCCTTACTAATATTCATAAGACATCATAGTAGCTATCAGGCTACACCCTATAAATTTGTTGTAGGGGTCTGATAGTTAATTTTTCTTTGTCAGCACATTTGAGGACTTGTATAGCTGTCTTTCTCAATTCCAATTTTTTCTATCAATTTTATGAATGTTATAATTTTATTTTACTAGAAGTGATCTCAAACAATTCTTGATGAGGGCAGTGCAGTTTATTTTACCTTACATGGTACAACCTTCTCAGCAAAGTCTTCAGAGTGTTTCAGAGGATATCATTGTTTTTGGACATGTCAAAAATAGCTGATATTAATTTTATCATTTAAAAAATTGAAGTCTGGAACCTGATTAATAGATCCAAAACCACATGCCCTTTGTCTTTGTCAGCGGTGCCACATGTGTCAGGTGCCTTGGAGATTCCTTGTGAGGTAGTAGAGCATGTAGCTCTTTGCCTCTATCCACTGGTCACCTTCCTGCTCTGCTGACCCTCTGAAGCTTGGCACCAACATTCACCACTAAGTGAGTTTGTGCACGACTATTATCTGCAGTGTGATATCAGTGTTCAGGACATTTTTCCCAGTGGCCAAGTATCCAAAGAGGAATTATGGGACAGATGTTCCATGGCTCGCACTGGGATTTGCATAAACCAATGCACAGCTCCTCAAGTCCCCAGTGACGGACCCCATCATCTTGGTCTTTATCATGCTACCTGCACAATATGGTAGCACTGTACTGTATAGGACAGCTCCTATACACATGCCACTGAGAGCACCTATAGGGTGCTCAAGACTACTGTGAGGTATACCATAATGCATGCGCCTTATGCACCTCTACCCATACCAGAGTATGTTTCACACATAGTGAGCTCTGATTGGTGCCACAAAATGTTAATTGGTCTCCTTACTGCTAGACCTGGTGGAGATGACCATGCATTAATGAATCAACTACACATGGTAGCCAGAGAAGCACAGATGACATCGTTAACTGCAATTAATAAGTTTCTTGGAGAATTTGATTCAGCTTTAATATTAATTCCAGGTGTTGCTGATGAAATTCCAAAATTCAGAGAGGCATATAAGATACTTGAGAAAGATGTAGATTCGTTGTGTTTTTCTTATGCAAAAATAACATCTGTATACCATGAAGATAGCCACCTCAGCGTTTCCACACTTAGCATCAGCAGCACTATGTCATGCATCTGAGACATCTACCACTATGAAAAATTACTGCCAGAGTAAACCTATACCGGGTGTAATATCTGAATCAAAACTCGAGAAGCCTTCAAGAAAAAACTGAATCAAGAAGGCTTCACAGCAGAACAATGGGCCATTGTGGAGTTACGCAGCCTGTCAACATATGTTAAGCTATAGCTGCCACGCTCTCTCACAAAAAACAATGTCATGAACCTGTCAGCTCTGGGATGGAGTCTGACTGAAAAACTGAATTTTTTTTTTTTTTTTTTTTTTTGAGACCGAGCCTCAGGCCATCCCCCTGGATAGAGTGCCGTGGCATCACGCTCACAGCAACCTCCAACTCCTGGGCTCAAGTGAGTCTCCTGTCTCAGCCTCCCAAGTAGCTGGGACCACAGGCACCCGCCACAACGCCCGGCCATTTTTTGGTTGCAGCCATCATTGTTGTTTGGCGGGCCGGGCTGGGGATTCGAACCCGCCACCCTAGGTGCACGTGGCTGGTGCCCTAGCCGCTTGAGCCACAGGCGCCGAGCCGAAAAACTGAATTTTTAAAACAACATAACCATCACGTCCAGCACACCTCCCACAAGCTCAAAAGGAGCTGCCTCAGGTACACTGCACTCGACTCCAGCAACACTCAACATGACCAACCACCAAAAATTAAGTATGTAACTCTTGCAGGCCTAGAGCCGATACCAGGTGAATTAGAGACATGAAGACTGAAGAATGAAGAGTACTGAATTAACTATTAGATTACATGACCTTCAAAAAAGACCTAGATTTGAATGCCCTGCAATATTGGATAACAGATCCAGTCAAGGAAATTGAGAATTTAAGAGCTTCAGCAGGGATTTAAGAATATTATTTATGTAATCAACAATCTTCAGTGATATTGTGAAATTGAATTTAAACACATCAAAGAACAGCTTAAAAAGCTTCAACTTAATGGTTCATTTGTTCACTCTTACTCTATTCAAGGAGTAGTACCAGTGGGACATATTTATCCAAATTTACTCCATACAGTAACTCCCCTCGTTGTCATGCAAGCAACCCGTTCCAAGACTGAATCTTCAGCAGTGGTTGATAAATGGAAAAGCTGGTGACTTGTGTGAGCAATGTTTGATGGACGTCACCAGGCCCACTTCCCAGTTTCACCATCATGATTTTGCAATTCACAACACCCATGAATTCACAATAAACATCATGATTTAGATACTATATCTGGACAAGTGTGGAACATTCACAAAAACTTTATACTTTAGTTTTAGGTATAAATAGCCTTAAAAGATAATAAAAGTAACCAATCAATTGATTAATTAAATAAATAATTAAGGTCTAATATCGTCAGTGAAAAATATTATAAGAACATTTGAGACATGAAATGTATGTTAATACTATTTGGGTGCTAGTCAGCTACATTTCAACTGAATGAAAACAAGTTATTTTTAAAAACTGAATTGAATGTAAAAATTGGATCCATTTTTTTTTTGGTTTATTTGTTTGTTTGTTTTTTCTGTGAGACAGAAAAGGTCTTTTTTCTCACCCTTGGTAGAGTACCATGGCATCATAGCTCACAGCAACCTCAATCTCTTGGGCTCAAGCAATTCTCTTGCCTCAGCCTCCCAAGTAGTAGATGGGACTACTACAATGGTACCTGCCACAATGCCTGGCTGTTTTTAGAGACGAGGTCTTGCTCTGGCTCAGGCTGGTCTCAAACCTGTGAGCTCAGGCAATCCACCTACCTCGGAATCCCAGAGTGCTAGGATTACAGGCATGAGCCCCCGTGCCCAGCCATGTCTTTTAAATTATTAAACCAAAATAAATTATAATTCAGCTGCATTGAAATTCAGCTATAAAAGCTAGACTCATTTATAAAGTTTGAGAAATAATTCACTGAATATTAAGATCTAAATCTTGGGATTATAGAACAATCCAAGATATGGTATTTTTTTCTTAATGATATACTAGATTCTGAAAGAGGGAGGGGGTGGGGGTTACAGGGGGTGATATACCTTTGGGGGGCAGAACACTATTATGGGAGGGTCTTTATCTGACACAAGCAGTCAGTGTAAACTGGTTCTTTGTACCCTCAATGAATCCTCAACAATAAAAAAAAATAATAGTAAACTAGGTTCTTAAATAATTTTTACAATACTTCAGACTAAATTTAATTATACATAGTAGTTCTTGAGACTTTTTAAAACTTTGTGATTACATTTTAGTTACGAAGAGGATGTCAGATACAATCTTAAAAAATCACTGTTACTTCCCAATTCACCAAAGTAAAATCCTAAAAAATAAAAAATGTGACTATTCATTAATTTAATTTGTTTTTTGAAAAACTTGAAAAGACCAAGTGATTTGTCTTAATAGTTTTTCCTTAGTTAATGCTTAGATGTTCAAACTGACAGTGGATTCAAATATAGCAGTATATTTGTATTGAGAATAAGATTGTATCCCTTTTAGATAATATTTACCAGCACTAGAATGTATACCCCAAAGATAAAATTAATTGATAATTATTAATTAATTAATAAACTAGAGGTTCTTGTAAGTGCTTTAATATCAGTGATAGATATAGTCTTTGTCGTCATGGAATTTGCAGTTTGTCAGAGGTTGAGTTTCTCTTATCTAAAATGGTTGGGAACAAAGTATTTCAGATTTCAGAATTTTTTTAGATTTTAGATACTAAACTAGTTGAATGTCCCTAATCTGAAATGCTCCAATGAGCATTTACTTTGAGACTTTGAGCTCAAAAAGTTTCAGATTTTAGAGGATTCAGATTTTAGATTTTAGTTTAGGGATCCTGAACCAGTAAAGCTAATATGTAGATAAACATAATTAATTGTAATAATTAAAATTTTATAACAGTTATAAATTGAAATACATACTAACCAATGTGAGCTTTTGTGCAGGTTACAGTTTTTTTTAAATATATTCATAATATATTCATCAATAATAACCAATTTAAAAGGTGGTTATCATAAATCAACTCTCAGGTCAAAACATTTTGTTATTATGGAA